AAAGGGGGAAATCTATAACGGTAACCGTTTATTTTTAGAACCGGTTAATTAATCGGAAGTATACAAAACCGTAAATCTCAAACCAATTAAAGTAAAAATTTTTTTTAAAAATTATATTGAATATTCTAAATAGAAGAGAATAATATTTATAAAATACTAAAATAGATTATTTTAGAACTACTAAGTATTAAAATTTAAAAATACCAAAACAAGCGTGTTTGATTGCGGAATCGTATCGGCGCACTAACAAAAGATTCTCAGTAGTCAGTACCTACCTATAATATAGGCACTGAATACTGATACGAATGGTAGAAACATCGACGAATGCTCAATGCGGGCTGATACATATATGATATATATATAATAGTATATAACCCTTGCATGTACGATATTGTACCAAGTACTAGGTAATAGGTACGTTATAACTTATAATCAGGGACTGTTGATATTCATTATTTAATAATAAGTTCGTTACATCTTACATTAGTTCGTAATAAAAGTAATACTGAACAAAACTGTGTAATCATCTATTACTTATTAGTGCTATTACCGTGCCTACTCTCCCGTCAGCTATATTCCATACCAAATAATACGTACTAACTACTAACTGATAATACTATAATAGTCAAATGTTAATAACCAAATATTGTCACCATCTATGATAAAATAAAATCTATTTTATTTTAGTCTTGTTTCATCATTATCATCTGATTTGCTAAACGAAATTATGATTATAAGAGCGAATAAGATGGGTTTGAAAATTTAAGATGTATTTTAAATGTTTATGTTTAATGTTTAATATTTTTAGTAGGTATACGGTGATACACTATAGAGTATAGACTACACAGACTATTTTTTTTGTTTATTGTTTGGAGTTTTTCAAGTACTAAGTTTGAACTTGTTTACTTGATAAAATGTTTTGTATTTTAATTTTTTTCATAATTATAAAACTGTTATCATTAATTTTATATTTTTAAGTTTTTATGTATCTTAAAGAAGAAAAATAGATATAGATACCTACTACTTTTATGTAGTTGTTGTTTTTAATCTTTTTTTTTTACGCCTCTTCTTATCTCCAGTCATACCACAACAAAATGCATGAATAGTTTCAAAAATGACATGTTAAGTTTGATGAAAAAAAATAGAGTAGGTATTAAAACAAAAACAAAAAAAAAAAAAACGGTTTTGTGAGGTAACCGGTAATTTTGAAGATTTAAAACCGCTTCCAAATAGATAACCGGTAATCCCATTTATAAAATTTATTTCGGTAAGCGGGAAATGATTATCATTATTTCTAAAAACCTCGATAACCGGTAACCGGTTCCAAAAAATTTTCCGGGTCCTACCGGACCCGGTAACCTATTTCTTCAGGAGCGGTTTCAAGCCCTGGTCTATTTGTTTTAGAATAACACCAAAAACCAAAATCGATTTTGAGTAAAAATTCCTGTTTTTCCCGGCGTTTTTGAAAACTGCTGGGAATTTTTTTTACTTTTAACCTCCTCAATTTCTGGCATGTATCGCACCGGTGTTGGTAAGATTAGTTTGTTAATCTGATCTAGCGGTCAGACAACTATGCAGGGTGCACGTGCAGGCTCTTACCATACCAATTAATTATTACTATCTATTTATTTATTTACTTATTTGTTTACTCATTTATATATATGTTACCTATTTTATAACTAATTGTGATTATTGGCAATTTTAATTGGACACGAGAAGAAGAAGACCTCCTCAATGCATCAACTATATTATATAGATTCACTTTCCCATCGAACAAGATACTGAAGTTGAAAATTGAAGCATTATTTCGAATATAAAGTTCAGCGGGGTGGAGTAGGTCAGCGGTGGTCCATCATCGCTTCGATTCTCAGACATGATATTGTATTATTACATAGTATTCAATTTGAATGCAATGATTGCATTCGATAAAAAAAAATGATTCTGGGAGGACAAAAGAAAATGTATGAATCATAAATATATATATTAATAACTAATAAGTAACCATTAATTGTATATTTGTATATAGTATATACCTAGTCCCAATTAGGTAATTTTTAAATTTTATTCGTGTGTATGGTTAAAACAAAGCGTTAGAAAAAGTAGCTTAGCGATAGGGTATTTTGGTGGTTTTTCCCGTGGTGTTAAAAAAATTAATGAGAAAATCGAAAAATTGAATAAATTTAAAGTACTATCTTGATCCAATTTTCTAAAAAATAAGATACTATATATCATGTTTAAATCGAAGTACTCATTCCGGTAGAAATTTTGTTCACAAGATAAAAAAAAAAAAATAAATATCATTGTAAAACCACAAGCTTCCTCGCTCAGCTCGGAATCTAAAATTAAAAAAAAATTTATAAAAATTAACAAAAAAACACACATTTCAAAATCAATACATTTATCGCTCCGCTCAGAATCTAAAATTGGGCATTGATAAATTATCCATATTATAATTATTTGACCCATGGGATATGTGATTCATTTACTGGTTTTATAAAATGTCCATGGTTGAACAAAAATACGATACGAATGATTAATGATATAAATTAAATGATAATAGGTATATAGGGGAAAGGGGTATTATAACTTTTTTAAATTGATTTGGAAGAACCTTGTACAATAATATTTCATACAGGTATTATTTTTGAAAAAATGTGTCTCTAATGTAATCTTGCTACTTATATTTTAAGAACTTGCAATGTGGGGATCATAATATGGTGTACCTAAATATGACTTTAGGACTTCTGCGAGTAATATAGTATTTTAAACTATATTACTGGTTCATTTTTATATTACTCATTTAGTACCACACTACAAGGTGATGAGAAAATAATATAAATAATATTGTTTAACTGGAAAAATCTTGAAACAGCAATAAATTTAATATTGCGGAAGTTACCTGTCATCATAAATAACTTACAACTTGTTTTGAATGGAATACAGTAAGATCGACATTTTGCATTTTTTTATTGCTATATTTTTTATTTTTATATATAAAAAATACACCCTTTGTGAGCACATGTTTTCAAAATCCAGTATGGCTTCCAATATGTTATATACGCCTCTTATTTGTTTCCATTAATTTTTCCTTTTATATCCATTCACCATCGGTCATCGTCTTTGTTTGAAATGTTTAATACAAATTGAAATGATGCCTTATATTTTATAATACAATAGCTGTTATTAAAATATAATATAGCTTATAGACGACATAATACGAGGTTCACCATAAATTGTTCTACAAGCAATTTAAAAATGTTAAAAATACAGTCACAATTTTTTTTGAAAGTGTTTGATATGTTCAATTTCAAAAAATTGGACAGTAAGATTTTTTAATCAGTTGTTGTAATTTATAACATATTATTCATAGATATTTGATACTTTTTACTGTTACTTACGTAAATATAATTATTTTCTATGTATATAAGGAAAGTACCCAATGAAATTTTAAAAATATTTAGATTTTAAACTAATTTTACTAATATTATTACGCCACGGCATATTCACAGACCACAGTTCACACCATTCCTAGGAACCTAGCTATATCAATATTAACTAATAATAGTTATTCTTCAGGTAAACAAGACCATCCCGTCAAATAATAGTTTAGTTATGGTGTTATACTTATATGCAATGTTTTTGGCAAAAATTAGTTAAACCTAATGAATTAAGAAAAATTAATATAACATACTATATACCTAACAATATATATAAAATATTAAGTAATAAGTATATAAACTTTCATTAGATAATAGATTATAGATGATAATAAATGCTGATCCTCCTGTCTCAATTCTATATTACTGGACAGAAATATTTTGTGTTGCTTTTAAAAGTACACACATATACTGTATATACGTCTTATAATCTATAAATGTTTGTCTTTTAGAGTACCTATATGGCTATATAGTATCGTTCAGGTCGTCCTGTATTTGTTTCTTATTATTCAATTGTCTTTAATAATTTCTGTGTTAACTGTATACCGATTGTAAATATTCATTATTAATAAAAAAAAAAAATAGCTGTGCATGTAATATATGGGTTATACCTAACCATAATATCTGTTTAGTAATTTAATATCAATATGCATTTTCAAATTTATTTTATTTAAAATTAATTTGTATAAAATAATTTATTGATAAGTTTATCTATAGAAACAAACTTTAAACTAGTAACATTAATTCCAAAAAAAATAACAACTATTATTAGGTATATAAATGTATAATATTATGTTACCTATACAACACGAATTCACAATTGTATAACTTTAAACTATATATTTACACCCTTAACTATAATAAAATACACATAATAATTTAAATAATATTAAAAATAATAATAATAGGTATCTGTGTTGAATCATTACAACTTTAAATGTCTATCTATACCTATAGTACCTATTTAGTATTTTTACTTAATTTATTTTACGTTTTCCACATATAATTTTGATCTAATGTTAATTCTTACTGCATCTATGCCTATGTGATATAGTCAAATTTACCCCATTGATCCTTAAAACATATTTAAGCAGGTAAGTACCTGTAAATATACCTGTATAGTCGGCACGATATAGGTAGGTATATAATCCATATATTGTGTCAGTATTGTAGGTAAGGATTAGAGGTATACCGAGTAGCGTGTATTACTAACAACTAACATAATAGTTTTGCAAAGACGCCATAAGAGCAGGAAACGTCAGAAATCAATTTCACATGACAAGAATAAAAAGAAGATAAAAGGGACAAACCCAGTTTTCTACATGATAGACATAGGTTTTGTAATATATAGGTATATTTTTCTAGAATAATGCGACCAGCGAAGCAAGGTTTTTTTTTTAGTTTATGCTTTTATAAATCAAAAAGTTATTGTAAAAATATTCTTAGTCTAAAGATTTTATTTTCACGAAATATTTACTTATAATAGGTATTGTTATTTTCATTTAGGTATAATATGAAAGAAGGCCGTATCTCAATATCATACAGTTTGCCACACCTTTACCTTTATATTAGGATGACCAAAAAGGATTTTGACACAACGATATCGGTGACTTGATCCGGAAGCGATCTGTTTCTCGAGAACAATTCACGGGATCTCCATGCAAGGCGATCAACGAACGTTGCACCTTTGTCTATTGAAGTGCACAAAAGGCTCCACACGACCGCAAGAGCGCCAGTCGGGTTTGTCTGACTATTCGGCGTACGTCGGTGATCGGGTACCGGCGGCACACGCGACGCAGTCCTCGTGTACATGGAGGCGGCCACGAAATGGGCGGAGCTCCATACACTGGGGTGGGAGAACGATTGTGGCTCACACCCACAACAACATCACCGAGTCTGGTTCAAATTCGTTGACCTTGTTACCAGAATCGGTTCGGCGCGACTTCGGTGTACCGAATTCGAAGTTTTCCATCATTTTTATACCGAGATCGGTTTTGAAAAGTATTATTTTGAAAAAAAATAACTACACATTTTCAGTTTGATATCGTGATGAAGTTTCGTTAATTGTTTTAATTAGTTTCTCGTATTTTTCTCGTTATTTCGAATTGTGTAACGTGCGGTAACGGCTAGTCGCCGAACGCGCATTTATAGTGCAGCACACCACTCGGACTAATTTCATTTTTTCCAACTTGATATTTACAAAATACCAATAATCGACATTCAAAAGGTAAGTGGAATATCAAAATATAAATATTATACATCAAAATGTTAAATGATAGGTGCAATTAAATATTCAATGTAATTTATAAAGAAAACAAGTATAGAGTAGGTACAATTTAAAAAAGCATTAAAATTTTAAATTATGATTTCTCCAATATAACTATAAATTATAATATAATCATATAGAAGTTAATTAAATAAAATATAACGAGTTTTTAATATTGGAAAAATATAATTTAGTAAATTAGCCATGTATGAAATTAGTTCAAATTAATAGATATATATTATGATTCATAAAATATGTTTCCTTATCACTTTCGTAAATAACTTGATATAACTCAACAGTAGTTTTAATATACTATACTATTATTTTTCATCATCAATTTCCATTAAACAAGATTAATTATTTTTCGTATAATTATAATTAGTAATATATACTCGTTAATTTTGATGACGGGTCACAGTAATTATGATAAAATAATAAACTTATTTCTTAATGATGTAATAAATTCAATTTTATTTCTGATATAGCGGAATTCTTATTAATCAAAAAATCATATAGATATATTTTAACAGATGCCTACTGTCTATACGGTTTTATTTAGGTACCTATATTTGCAGGTCTCCATACGCGTACAAGAGATGATATAAAAAACGTTTCTCAGCGGGAACTCAGTTTTTATTGTGGACACAATTCTTAGTAAACTCCCGTTACAGTTTCCTTTATTTAATCTTCTACATATTGTATTATGATTCAGCCTAAAACATTTAGGTAGCTGTAGTTTAAATGTATAGGTATAGTCAGGGTCGAAATGTTATACCATTTATCTTATCTTATAGTTCGAATATTTTATAGTAGAAAAACATGATTTATACCTAATATATTATGTTCATGGGTTTATTAATATTATTTCATAGATATGTTCAATACTGTATATCATATACAATATACATACATATAGTATTATCGAATAGTATAGTACCTACCTATACAGTGTACAAGTATAAAGGCATCTGGTTGTATCATGTAACGTAATTCAAAGATTAGACATATTTTTAAAAATAAAATGAAAACATATTTAAATTAAATTATATTATAAATAATAATACAATACTAAAGTACATATAGACATTATAATAACCTATAGTATATGATGGTGTAGTCTTAATATTAATAATATACTATAGTTACGTATAATTTTTTTCTAAAAGAAATAATAATTTTTGATCTGGTTTTAAGCTATAATTCCAAAGTACAACTAATGGAATAGTTTCCTACATTCTTAAATACGTAAAATAACTTTTTTAATACAAAAATAGTGTTTTGGTAAATTAAAAGTATTTTATGTCTTTTTCATATTGTGTTACTTCAGATTGCATTAATACTATCGATGACAGTTGTATCTATTCCGTATAATCGTATATACTAATATGTACTCTTATCTCATACATGGCTGGACAAGTTAATGATATTTTTTAACTCAATTAAGCTAATAGACATTTTTAATACATCAATTAAGTTGAAAATCAATTTGACAAATACGAAATACCATTAACTTAACTTAACTTCAATTAATAAGTTAAGTTAATAATTATAAAAAAAATGCTTTTATGTGGTTTTTTTAATAAAATAAGTTTACTTAAATAGTAATCATCATATTCATAGGATATTACTATTGAAATAATCTATGATAATAATTATTGTACTAATAAAAAATAATTAACAACTAATGAGTAATGAATAGATATTATGATTTATGAATATAATTCGTGACTAATGTTACCCCTATATTAATATTTATAAGTACATAACTAATACAATATATTAATTTTATCTTTATATATAAAAACGAAGTTCTTTGTAAATATATCTTATTTTTTTATATTCTGATAATATTTTCTATATTCTGCGAACTTATTATAATTATTATAAACTGAAAACTCGTAACAAATAAAATATTTTTCTGGATAACACGAAAATTCAAAACTCAAAGTTAAAATCAGCCTTGATCTCATATACTTAAAGAAGTTACGAAAAAATGTACGTATTTTTTTCAATTTAAAAGCGTCCTACACAGGTCTATTAGAGTTTTAAATTATTTTCATTTTTACAAGTAAAAAATTTAGAAAGATTGCATCATGCGATTTGGGAGATGCAAAAAAAATTGCGTCTGTAGATATATTCTAAAGTATATTTCTTTGTATAATATTTATAACATCACATAATACTTTTAGTAAATATTAAAAAATTGTATTACCCATATACAATGGTAGGTAAGTATAAATATATAAAACATCATTCAATATTTTTTACTCTCATCTAATTATAAATTTAAAAAAATTTATAAATTTATTATTAACCGCAAAATTATACTTCGTTAAATTATATGATGCAAGAAAATCGTTTGGTAATTTAAAATTTAAAATATAATAACATTAAAATATAAAAATTAGCACATTAAGTTATTTCTATATGAAATTAATTCTGAAGAGGACGTTACAGTGACATTAGTTGTCTCCGTCGTACATGCGCGTAACATACCAACTTTAACGCTCAGCAGAACACATTTATCTCCGGGAGTTTAAAAATTAGAGCGAATTGAACTCTTATAAAATTTAAAGATAAGACTATTATCTAGACAATGATATAGGCTTTTTATTATATTTTAAAGCGAGTTATGTGTATTTTAAAATTGTAAACTGTTTGTACATCTTAAAATAGGTACTCATAACTAGCTTTAAAATTAAAATATAATAAAAAACCTATGTCATTGTTTAGATAATAATCTTACCTTTAAATTGTATAAGAAGTCAATTTGCTCTAATTTTTAAAATAACAGAGACAAACGTGTTCTGCTGAGCGTAAAATTTGCCATGTTATGCACTGTAAGACGGAGACAACAAATGCTACTGTAACGTCCCCTTATAATAGTTATAATTTTGAAAAATGTCCGGAAGTGCGTGATTATAAAATTCACCTAAAATATTATTTTTTAATTTTATGATTTACTATTGTTTATTATGATAACACCTGCACTACCTGCAGTTTTTTGTATCCTGTCTGGTTCCTTTTTTTAAAACATAAACTCAATAAGTGATCAATAACGATATTCATGTATATGAAAACCATCCATTGTTTGTTTTTTTCCCCACGAATCTTTAAATGTCGTGTAGCAACCGATTGCTGTATGAGTAAAGGCCGCGGTAATGCGGTGTCTGGCAGCCGGATATGAGGAACGGCGGCGACGGCGGTGGCGTTGTTGCGGTGGCGTCCAGATACCGGTGGAGGTACACGTTGACGCTGATTGTGTGCGTGATGGCAGCGGTCGGGGTAGAAGGCTGCGGCCCGTTGCGTGGCCCGTCAAAGTTCCGGAACCCTCGAAAGATGAAACCTCTGGTGTTCCAGCAACACGAGCCCAACGTCAGCGAGTACTCCATCACCGCCAGCGGGCCACCAGAGGGTCGGATCCAGCGGAACGACTCCAGGTTCATGGAGCTGGTACCCAACTACAACGCAGATATCGAGTTCAAAGACGACGAGGGCACCGGTGCCGATAGACTTATGACCCAGGTAAGGTTTCCGCTTTATACTATTTATCACTTTTTTTATCACTATTTAACACACAGTTTTCTGTCAAATGTATAATAAAATAGTCAATAGACCTATGTCGTTTAAAACTAATTATATTCTTCATAAGGTCCTCATATTCGACGTATGCTGCTGTTTGTGTTTTGTGTACACACACTTCCGATCGCCCCGGGCCCATTATTTATTATTTTATACTCAAAAACACATGCATATAATGTATGAGTATGACTGAATTAGATAAGACGTATTGTATATAGGTGTAGGTATATTTCACATCGTCTTCTCTTCGCTCGCCCGTTAATCGGTAGAATTCGTTTTCATCTGTATTCAACGCTTGTTTTCTTTATTTTCCACGACAGTCCTATAATCTGTGCCTCGACCTTCTATAAGTGATATATAGTTATATTATTTAGATAGGTACTAGCCACCCGCCTGCGCGCGTCTGCACTGAGTGTTACTTACCTTGACCCAAATTTGTCAGATGGGTTCGCACCCCCGTGTTCCCCGTGACAACTCGTCGCCTCATCGGGGGTTCTTTCTTTTTTAATAATATTAGACATTAGGGTTCCTTATGAGCACCATTGCAGACTACTGCACGCCTGCACACATCTTGCTATTCCCAGTATTAAAATATGTATAGGTACATGATGTATTATTATATAATGTGTATATAACGCGCTCTTAATATTAAGACGGATTGACGGAATGACACATTATCGGCCGCGAACGATAACGTCGAGTGCACGACCATAAAGAAATAACACGAGCAAAGAAATCCTTCGTTGATTTATATACACGTAAATATTTTAGAGAAATTGTATATGCCTTGATATTGAATAATGCAATATAGGTAGGTGCTATCGTATATCCGTATAATATAATGATAATATTCCTGTATGTTATACTAACTTCCAAGTATAGTGCAATACGTGTGAATGCATATCGTTACTATCGGCCGAGTAGGTATTATAAGAATTAATCTTTTTACGTAAAATCAGACTGCATATTATTACCTATAATAATTTATATTAATTTTTACTAAAACGTTTTTTAAGCGTCACGTAAAATAAATATAGCAATAATACGCTTTGAGACCTGCACATTATTATTCACGTGCTGTTATGTTATTTGTATGCACTGAAGTACAAAACGACTTCTATGCAGTATGCACCGAGTGCGAGTTTTTTTTTCTCTTCGTCATCGTCGTCGACTCGCGACGCCCGGCCGTCTAGCCGTCGTCTGCTGCGCATTACGTGTTACGTAGTTTATATCAATTTGGACGTTATACACTATATAAGTGTACCTACGTTATGTTGTATACTTTATTTTGTAACGACACACGGTTTTCGGCAGCTCGTTCGACGTGGGCGACGAGGAGAAAGGTATTATAACAATATTATATTTGGTTCATATTATATAGATATAATTATAATAGGCATGTAATTCGATCTTTGGAAGTCGCTGAGGAGGTCATAAGGGGGCAAGGGGCACGCCGCATTGTTTTCGAAACGATTTAGCAGAAGCACGAACGCGGACGAATAAAAACATTTTATAATGTTTTATTATAAACGCGTTTGCTTATCAAACGCGTGACGGATTTATGTAAACGAAAGATAAGCGTGCTATTGTTCATTTAAATTAGGTGAAAAAATATCGTAATTCGCAACGGACAGCAGAAAAAGCGTTTCCCCTCGACCCCCCTTCAGATTTAATTGGATATTTTTTTTTTGTCGCGTACAGTGCTCATAATAGTAATAGTAATATATACATTATTGTACGTATGTGTACTATATATATTTATACACATTATAATAAAATATTCGGGCTCGTGCCCATGTTTGTGTCTAGTCAACAATGCGAACCGACAAGCCGATAACATTGTTATTACGCGTTGTTTGTTCATTTGTCTGTGCCTGCGTACACGTTCCTCGTTCCGTCTCTGTCCGTCGCACGCTGTACATCGCATCGCATCGCATTATAATAATATATATACCCCACCGCAGTGGGTACGTTAAAAATATAATATTATTGTACGGGCATACGACGCGTACCTACACATAATAGTAATAATAATATGATATTTTCGTTCGTCGCGCGGCCGCCAGCGTTCACGGCTGTCCGGTCTCGTTATTTCGCTATCGCATATTTGGCGTTTATGCGTCACCAACGCGCCGCGCACCTGTGCCGGCTAGCGCAGCAGCAGGGGACGCGGTCTAGACACGCGGGGCTCCGCGTGTCATCTCTTCTGTCCGGTGCGTGTGCATGTAACACACACGCGTATAATACCCACACACGTTACGTATGCACAAGTGCACACGGGGTTGCACGGTGCAGCAACGGCGGCGATGCTGCATGCAGCAGATACGGATCTCCTGGCAATGTATAATCGCGTCCGTATCACGTGTATATAATACATAACATAATATCCATCTCGCTTCGTGCGTGCCACGACGTTTGTTTTTTTTTTCCACCCGATAATCAATAATAATAACATGTACCTGCCTACACTGGCACATTGCTACGACGACTTGAGATTGAAATAAATGAAAAAAATAATAAACCACTCATCGTGTTCAAATTTACCACCGTTCCAGTCGTTTGACGTCAAAATATTTCACGATTCTTATGACTTTTGCGGTATGTCTGTGTACAACTGTGTGACATATATTATAATAGTATGTACCTCTATATTCGCTAAGTACATATACGTACATATTATGCGTATATGTAGCTGCTGCGTTGACGTGAAATTAAATTCAAACTTTATATCATAATGAGACGAAATAGCGTGGTGTCAAGTTTCGTTGAAAAAAAATGTTTCATTAATTTTTTTATTATATCTACATAATAAACACTATATATTGTATACTCATAGTATATAATAGCGGCATACCATTCACATTGAATAGTTACATACTAGGCACATATTAATTTTCATTGGTATCTACTATCTAATATATATGTATATATGTATATTATATATGTATATATATTATATATAATAAATATTATGCGTGTGTGTAGCTAAGATATCGAATACTATTAAAGTTTAAAGAGAAGCCGATGTTAACTATAGGTTTTAAATAAATATTATATTATATTTAAACGTGACTATATAGTCTACATGTATGTATAATATTGATAGGGCATAGAATATAGATAACTGTTGTAGTTTATTACTAATTACAGTAATGACTATAATGACTAATCTAATAGTGACAACGAAAATGGTATTTTATTATATTATTATATTATAATACATTAATAGGTACGTTAATTTAAATGTTTCATATGTTATATGTATTTTGTAGTGGGTTATATTATGATGGGTATCATCGAGTTTTAAGAAAAGAAGGATGTCTATAAAGCTTAATGAATTAAATATATTTATAAAAGAAAAATAAAATAAAAGATTCAATGAAAAATGGATATAAATATATAGGTAGGTACCTCGTTTGACTTCATACAGGACGCATTGCAATTGAGTCCACGGGAACAGAGTTTTATATCCTATATAGGTATGTATTAATAAAATGTATTATTTAATGAATTCGAATACCACATATAGCTCAATAGCTGACAAGAATCCATAAATAGCATTAAGTGATTGACTCGTTTCTCACGGTTCTTAAATTCAATCATATATCTACAATATTTTTTTCGGTGTATATGAATGTTTGTGACTTAACACTTTTTTTCATTTTATGGCTATAACAACTATTAATAAATATATTATTGTTTTTAGAAAAGTCCATACACAACATAAATCGATATAATATGTATGTCATACATACCAAAATGTTTAATTTGATTAAAAATATATACCTAATACTACAAGTACCCACATTATTTTATGTATTTAAAAAAAACGATTTAAGCACGTTTTAAAGTTTAAACACCATAATAATGTATGCCTAACATAATATAGGTATACCTATATAAAACTTTACCGTTATACGCTATAATAATATATAAATACAAAAAGATTTTAAATTTCCAAAATTAAATACACACGGTATTAAAATAATTTAATAATGATTGTGTTGTATAATGAATACCTAAGTAATATAGCCATATAGGTAGTCTTGATCATATATATGCTATTTTGTCCATTAGGTTTCGAATTTCTTTTTATGTACATTCTTAATGATTAAATGTCATATACAGTCGTCAACTGAATAAAAATGTCATAACGAATACGTTTAAAACTAGCAAAATACCAAATATACATAAGTATTAATTAATACCTGTAGAAATAGCTAAAACAATAATTATACGGCATAAATAATATTATAAAATAGGTATTTATGATGTAGGTATTATGTAATTCTGTAATAGATACTATAGATAGGTATAGCTGAATACGCTTATAACTATAGTTATGTAGTAATAATATAGTCTTATAGTGTATAGGCATATTATACTACATCGTAAACTATTATAACGTATGGACATTTACGTGTTAATATTCAAAATTTAAAATTTCGTTTATATACGATTCATAATAATTCATATACATAATGATATGTATATCATGAACATCTCTTCAGACATGCTCGAAGCTTGTACGTCGTAAATCTTAAGTCTTAACATATTAGTTCGCAACTGCCAACTAGTACATTATTATAATATATATTAAATACTAATTATGCTACAGTCTACTAGTACTTATAATATAGTTGGACAGTGTGTTCCAGGAAAACGGGAAAATATAAAATAACTCTCAAATGATAAAGTTGTATTATCAAAAGGTTGTATTGAAACCAGAAAACTACATTATATGACATTAAGGGTCCCCAAAAATTAAAAATCTCATGTCTTTAAATTAATGACCGTTATGACGGTGTCCATTCGTACGTACCTATCGGTTGGTTCGGGGTTTGGTGACATTCATTGACCCCAAGCTAACCAAACTTATAGGTGTGCGATTTTTGTCTCGTGGGGACCATCTCAAAAACAGTGTGTACAAGATACATAATTTG